ATTTTGTGCCCAAGCAGCAGGCTGCCTCGGGTGCGCTCCCCCCTTCACCTAAATCAGAACAGGCAAAGCATTTTTCTACAGAAATACCCTGTTGTGCAGGGCCCGGGCTGGAGGTACCAGGATTACTCACAGTGCACGAAATTAAGCACGTAGGAAAATATTTGCGTGCCTGGGGAGGAGGCTCAGGGCGCCCGGCCAGGCTCGATGCGGGGGTTAGGGGGTGACTAAGTCACCAGATGAGTAAGTCGTCACCCTTGGTCTCCTTCTGCTTCCAGTGCTGCTGCTAAACACGTCCAGGCTTCAGATTAAAACCACACCGGGCTGTAGGCCTGGCTCAACCAAACACCTGTGATTAAATTAAGCACGCAGATTAAACTGCAGTTTAAGGCTAGAACCTCCCCTGTGAGCCAGCAGTTGGGGTTCCTGGGCTGGACTCTTTTCCTTTCCATTCCCCATGTGCTTTCCTTGGCTTAATTTCTCCTAACAAGCCACAAAGTAACACAAATAAATAATCAGAGGGGTCACAGCTGAAAGCAGGATTCCGCTGCCCAGGGGTGAGAGCTAGGCCTGAGGAATCTCTAGCTTAAACAGAAAAGATGGACAAAGGGCAAAAGAAACAAAGATTTTTCACTCCTTCCACGCAGCAAGAGCAGGACCTTGTTTAAACTTGGTCCCTCCTATCTCTGCCAGGGTTATTGTTGGTTTTCCTCCACGGAGGATGAGGACTGCCTTGCACCAAAGCTTTGGGTGGTTTAACCCACTCGTTCAGTGCTTCTTGGGGACTCACTGATTTTCCTTTCCAGATGTTTATGAAGGAATGAAAAAACTCCCCATAAATACTGGGGAGATCCCAGCACATCCCCAGGATTTCAGCCCGAGGGGTGTTTTGCTGGGGAAGTGACACCACAGATCCACAGAAAATCCCCATCACACCGTGGCAGTTCTCCAATTTGGTTTCCAATAAATTTGGAGAGTGGGCAGGCAAAGCTGTAAAGGGAAGGGGCTTACACACCTCTGTGACACCCTTTGGGGTTCAGGCCCCCTTGGCAAGGGGTTCACTCTACAGGTCACCACACACACACGCACGTGTGAGCCGCCACCACGATGTCTCGTTTCTGGAACCTACAGTCCCAGGGGAAGGGGTTTCTGCGCTGCCACAAAGAAATGCTGATGCAGACTGGACCTTCTGTGAGCCAAACTGGCCCCATGGCCACAGGAACATCCTCCTCCGTGTCTTTGTGCTGGTACTGCTCAGCTTCGCTCTTACGGGTCTCGACTGTGTAAAAAAGGGGAAAAAACCATACCAGCGTCACAGCTACTGCGAACTGCACGTGCCCTCTCGCTCCCTGAGGCCTCAACAACTGTTTTTAATACACTATTTTTAATAGTCCTTCAGAACAGGGCAGGAGGGGTGGGACAAGGTACTTTAGTTGGGTTTCACCCCGTTTGAACTGATAAAAGGGCTTGTGTCACAGGATACCCTTCTCATTTAGCTTGATTTTTCTTTAATTACTTATGTCAGTACTTTGCAGCAGCTTGGCAAATTACTTCCTTGGGCTTTGCGTTGGGGACCCAAATTCAGGGCCTGGCTCTCTTCGTATTAAGGCCAGACCAAACCAGAAGGAGGTCATGGAAGTCAAACCTAAAGTCAGTGAAGCACTAAAGGAATAAACTGGCTGTGAAGGAGTCCTGGCCAAGGCCCCTGCTGCGACAAAAGAAAACTCCCATCCCCACCCTGCTCCAGCAAAGCCTTCCACCGAGACTCAGGGCACTGTCTAGGCCCAGCTCCTGCCTCAAAATTAAGCAGGCAAGGATGAATAGGCAAGAAGGGCACTGACTCGCTGGCAGAGAGCTGCCAACCCCCCACCCCCCGTCGCTCTGTCCCCCTGCAGTGACACAGCAGCCCGGCGCCGGGGGACCCGCCGGTGCCTCCGGGGCACGCCGGGAGCTGTAGTTTCTCGCTCCGTGTCTCGGTTTGGCGATGAATTAGACGGCCTGGCGACCAGGGCGGGGAAACGGCCCGCGGGAGGGCGGCGGGGAGCGCCGGGAGCTGTAGTCCCGGCAGCCGGGAGGGCGAGTAACCCCCGGGGGACCTTGGGCCGGAGCCCACCCGCAGCCCCGTGGAGCCGACAGCGGGCCCTAGAAAAGCCCCACGAA